AATGTAATCCCAGTATTTTTTTCAGGACGGGACATAAGATAAGGGTATCCTGGTCCCATTCTGTCCCATGAACACCTATAGCTTCAAGTTCTCTTCTTCCTCCTCTCCTTCTCTCTCTATGTTTTTGAAATTATCCTCTTCTCTCTCTTCTTGGCCAAGCATCACAAGATGAAAGGGGCAAGGAAGGCTTGTCCTTTATATACATAAAAGACAATGGGATGCTTGTAATTAGATTCTTCCATGGTGACCATTTATGCGGCTTTTCCTTCTCGCATTTTTATAAATGAATTAATAATATCACATAAAAAGTGGCTTAATGAATGTGAAAGGGTATAGGCTTTACTTTAACTTCTTAACATACTTTCCAAATATTGGGCCTACTCTCATCTATTATTGAAATACTTTGGAATCGTGCTTAACATATATATGTTTCGGACGTGCTTTCATAAAATTTGATCAGGATAATTATTCTTAGAATATTTTACTAATTTTTCCTTAATTAGAATTAAAATTCTGAATTAAAAAATTGAGATATTACATTCACTCTCCTCTCTTCCTCTTATCCTTCATTTTCGTTCTTATCCCTCTACTGGAGACTCATCATCTTCAACCCAAGAAGCATCATCGTATTTCACCTAGGTTTGTTCTTTTTCCTTGACCTAGGCAGCAACACTAGTCTTCTTCCTCAGCTCCAATTTTTCTTCTTCAACAATTTTCCATTCAATTTCATTGGATGGCCTCTTCATTTTCTTTAATTTCTTCAATCTATCTAATTCCATTCCATGGTGACAATTAGACAGAGCAACATCAATACCTAATTGGTGTAGGACTTTGGTTTATTTCTCTTTTCTCCTTTTGCTATTGAATTCCAATGTCACAAAATGAGTTTATAATTTTTTATTTTATATTATTATATTTAAATTTAATAAATTACTTACTTTTAATTTTTTAAATAGAAAAATAATATATTTTCACTAAATTATTTGGTTTTAAATATAATAACATAAAAATATAATTTTTATAAATAATTTGATTTTAAATTATTTAGATTAAACTAATTTTAATATAATTTTTCCTTCAATTTACTTGTATAGAGAAAACTATACGAAATATAATATATTTTGACATAAGGATACTACAATCATTGTAATATTTGTTCATTTCCTTTCTTCCCTATTTCCTTCTCTTCATCCAAATACAATGAGAGATATTTTTTTATTTTTATTTTATTTTCTCTTAATTTTTCTTTCAATCCAAACAAAGGGTTAAAAATATAAATTATATATTTTTGAAAGCATCTGGGATAAATTACACTTTGGCCCAACCAACAATGAATGAAAGTAATCAAACATTTTGTTATTTCAAAATTTAAAAATACCAAATTTATTTATTGAATGATTTGATCCTAGATTTGATTATGCTCTTGGGTAAATAAACTAACAACGGATGAAAGCAGAAATTAGAAGTTTGCGGACAGAATCCAGATACCCCAATTATTTTTATTTTTCAAAATTAATTTCCCTTTCTCTTTCTCTTTTGAATTATATTAAATGGAATTGATTGTTCTATATGAGATTATTGAATTAAATTAGTCAAAATTTTCTACTAACACAGTAAATCAACCGACTATCGATTCATTCTAAATTATGCACTTTTCTCCTATCCGTAAAATAAGATTATGCTCTTCTCATGATTTGAAAATAAGGTTAGAAAAATGTCATGGAGCAAACCATGTGAAGTTTTTGCTATCATAGTCATGTAAAATGGAAAGGGGAAGAGAGAGAAGAGAAAGAGGAGGAAGATAGAGGAGATAGAATATCAAAACTCTCAAAAACTCTTATTCAATAATACTTAAAGATGAATACAAATAAAAATCCTAATTATATTTATAGAAAAATGTTAAAATAGTAATAAAATGATAAATTAAATCTAAATTATAAATCTAATTTAAAAAAATATTGATAGGATAATAATATTTTATCTTATTAAACATAAATAAATTCAATATAACGATAAAATAAAATAATAAATTCTAATTCTCTTGAATAAATACTTTTGTTTGAATATTCTTAATGGATAATCTTAATATTTTAAATAAACTAATTAAATCACAACTATATTCTACCATTTAATTATTTTTTTTAGATTTGATGACAAATCTTCTAAATGAATTTCATTTCTTTTTGTCGGTTATTTGATTCATAAGCTCTTGATGAATATCGTCTTTCATTTGATGGTAATTTTCTTTTTAAAAATCTCTTCATTTTTTATTCAACACCTAAAAAAATTTAAATCACTAAACAAAAAATATTTAAAAATATTAAAGCATTGAAAAAGACAAAACAAATAGCATGTGACATATTGATTTTACCAAATCATTTACCAAAAAAGGAAGTACAAGTAAAGTATAAGTATATTATTAATTTTTTGCACAATAGAATGCAATAATTTCACCAACAAGGACCACGCACTCGGACTCAATGCCGAGTCAATAGGCTTTGATATGTTCGTAATTTATGAAATAATCGACACCCCGCCCCTCAACAGACAAATAATATTGATTGAAGAAGTGGAGGACAAAGTGTGCCCATAGAAGCACACCAGCACTTTCGACTTTTGAGACTAACTTTCCTCTTTCTTTATCTCCCCATCTTGTCCCTCTCGACCTTAATATTACGTTCCGTTTCAATGTTATCACTTCATAAAAATATGTCAAGATTTTATAAATTTTTTAATTTTATTTTATATTTATTATAAAAAATTATAAAATTTTAATAAATCTATTTTATTATTAATTTAAATAATATATATTTAATCTGAATAATCCGATTTAATATTAATTTTTTAATTTTTATAAATTGACTATTCAGATATACTCTTGATAGACTGGATCTGAATAGTCAATTTATAAAAAAAATTTAAAAAAATTAATATTAAATTAGATTATTCAAATTAAATTTATATTATACAGATTAATAATAAAATAGATTTATTAAAATCTTATATTTTATAATTTAATAAATATATATTAAAATATAAAAATAAAATGGATAAATTTAGATCTAGATGCTCATCAGGTGATGAGCACCTGAACTCCCTACTATAAGTGTTGGTGTTAACTATTTCGCACCTTCTTCAAAGATAGGCATTTTTCTTCTTCTTCAATGATACAGAATCAGCATCTTCAAAGGTGGGATTTTCTCTACCTTTCTATAAGCTATTAGGTTAGTTTTTCTCTTGATCCCAAAAAATAACACTTTCTCTATTAAAATTTTTGAAAGATTAGATATTAAAAAATACAAGATATTTTTAGTATTTTAAAATATAATAATTACCTTTTTGTTTTTAAAAAGAGTCCCTAATAAATAAATTATTTTATATTTAGTTTAAAACAAAACATCATATTAAACGGGGCTAAATATGAAAGATGATGTTAGTTTGAAAATAAGTAACTACTTTATTAGAGATGAAATTTGGTTAAAAATGATTTATACTTTTAACGGAGAGGGTATTAGTTTTTGTTATAATAGATTTTTTTTAAAACAAAAATAAAATTAGTGTTTGGGTTTAATGATTTTAAAATTTTGGGCTAAAAATTTTATACATCAGCTGAACATATTTAAATTGTTTTTGGAACCTAAACATCTTTAAAGTTGAGTTAAGGTGTGCAAAAATGTTTGGATTAAGACATGCAAAGTATTAGAATATATGGACTCTCATTATAATTTTCTCCAAGTCTAAAAAATATACTTTCCCCATAGGCTTCAATATGGTGTGGCCTATGATTGTGGGGATTATCAAGCCAACTAAGGACCCATTTAAATTTTGGTTAGATATAATTAATTATGAAAATAAATAATTAATATGATTAATTTTAATTATAATTAATTATATTACAATGTAACTTGTTTGGATGTTAACATTGATTTTATATGTGTAAATTACCACAAAGGACATTACTTTTTAAAATTAAATTATTGATAAAGTTGTATTTAATATTATTAAATTTGTTAAGCTTTATTTAAAAAGTAAAATATATTATTTAACAGTAAAATTAAATATCTAAGAAATCTTTCAGGTCTTATTTTAAAACATGATTCTGGCTCAATAATTAATTATCAACTTCTTTTACTGTTTGGGCAATTTTTTTTTTCAAAAATCAATTATTTGAACCCCAAAATCAATTATAATGTTGATCCAAATATGCTGTAAGTAGTTTTCTTAATGGAGAATTGCACCAAAGGCCAAAACCAACATAGTCCCTCCATTAAAAAATTATAAGGCAGTTTTTGAAGAGTTTAATATTTAAAAATATAAGGTATTTTTAATTTTTTAAAGTGAAATCATTGCCTTTTTTTTCAAAAGTTTCTCTATTGATAATGACTTTATATTTATTATAGGATGTTTAATAGGAGTAAATATAAAAAGATAGGGTTAGTTTAAAAATAGGTAACTATTTTATTGGGGTTAAGATTTGATTAAAAATGTTTTACATTTTTAAATAAAGAGAGTATTTGCATTAAAGTGTTAATAGAATCTAAAATAATTTTACAGCCCAAAAATCTCTATCTTGCAATTAAGTATTTTTGTGAAAAGACGGAATTACTTCTTTGTGAAATAAATAAACATTTTTTACAAATAAATAGACTTTGAATATTTTTTTAGAGTATCTATTATGAATTTTATCTGGGTAACTATAAATTTTTTCTCGTTCAACTAGAGTAAATCATGTGAAACAAGTGTACTGTATGAAATGAATGGACATTTTATTATTAATAAAGAAATTTTAAATGTGATTTATAAAGTTTCTGTAACTTGTAAATTTTGAATGAGTGAAAATGTATTATGAGATAAATCAGAGGCGTTAAAAAAATGTCCTTTTCCAAAATGAAGAAAACAAAGAAATAAGAGTAGTGATGCTTTCCCTACTTGGTTGCCCAAAAGCAGGTGAAAACAGAACGATTCTATCATTGCAATAGCCATCCTCTGTTTTAATTTCCACGTGATTCTGCTTCCATTAATAACCAGTGGGGTTAGCTCCTCTGTATTCTCGTTACTTTTGTTTCAGCGTCCAAGATAACGGATCTGTCTTCACCTAATCACTCCACTTCGTTCTTCCACACTCTTCCTAATTCGTCTCATCTTCAACCTCTCTTTCTCGCTTACTCTCATCTCTCCCTTTTCCTCTCATTCTGCTTCATATTGCCTGAAGACGTCGGATCTGTTACTCAGGGTCGTCGAACACTCTGGTAACACCTCGAACCTTGCGTATCTCACGGATCTGAATTACTGTTTGCTTCTCTTTTTCTGCTTCTTCTTCTGATTTCTGTACCTTACACTCCTCAGTCTCCCATTCTTCACAGATCTAATTCCTCAGTCTTCGTCTCATCTCATCACGTTTGTAGATTATAAAATTTTTGAAGTTCTGGATTGTGTTTGCTTTTGATCTGTGTGTGTATGATAATTTTCTTGAATATGGAGTTTGCTATGCGTGTATGGGTACGAGTATTATGCTTTTGGTTGCTTCTGATTTGGGATGGCATATATCATAGCTTGCAATACTTGAAGAGTATGTATGTGTGATCATCGTTCCACTGAAAAAGAATCTTTAGAATTTATCCATTTTTGTATAGCAATGCAGTGAGCACAGAACAACTTACTCTTAGTTCACACAAGGAAAAGCTTCTTCCATTGTTGCAAAACGCGCCTTTATGGTCTCCCCAAGCCCAGCCAAGCCTCATAGATTTGTGTAACTCCCTCGGTCATCGATCATTACAGAGTCTTGTAAGACTTGAACCATGTTTAGATGTTACAAATTGATTGATAACTTGAGATTCTCATTAGTATGAAATTTGCTCGTATAATATCAATTGTTTTTTTTTTTTTAAGTGGTTTGAATGGAATTTAGGTGTTAAACATTTTGCTTTATTTTGAACAAGCTAGGTGTGTGTGTTTTAGGAGGTTCACCTTTTAAGAGAAACTGCTGATTTTCTTCAAAACTTTATGCTATGTTTTAGTTTGATTATACTCTGAGATTAATAAATAATTAAATTTGTTTAAATCATTAATATGGATTTTTACGGTTCAAATAGTATAACTACCCGGTGCTTACAATTACCAAATCTAAATCTATAAATATAAATCTTAGTTGGAGTAAGGGAACTAAAATCATGTTTGTTAAGTAATTTGACTTATGTTGTTAAAATCTTAAAAAAATTAAAAAATGTTTATCGATATTCGATGAGTCAACTCCGATGAAGGAAAGAATAACATTGAAACAACCAAAAAATGCAGAAACCAAGCAAAAGGAGAAGATTCAACTCAATTCAAGAGAAACAATGTTGATTCGATAAGAGATACATACAATATGAAGTTAAACTATCAGATCAATTTTTTATTGTCATTTATTTAAAATTTTGACGATATACATACTAATCAAGCTTGAAAATCAAATTAAATGTGATATGTTGACTTTTTTCATTTTTATCACTACCTGTACTAGATATATGTAATTCTTATCATGACATGATGTTGAATATTGATCGTTGCTTTATATTCTTGTTGCTGTGATACTCTAAAGGTTATATATTCCTAGCAATTAATCCCTAGTTGCACAATACAAAGATAATCCGCAAAGAGAGATTTTTTTTTTTTTGTCTTACTTACAATTCACATCAATAAATTTTCATTATAAATTTTTCTTTTTACATTAATAAATTTATCTTTTTACATTTTATTTGATGTTGGAGAGAAAAAAATGTACTGTTAAAATATATATTTAATAAAAATAAAATTAATAATTTATTAAATTTTAAGATAGAGTTAATGAATTTTAAAATTTTTTTAACATTAATAAAATATATTTAAAGTAACTTATAAATAAGACAAAAAGTTATACCAAACTAATATTGTTATGGATAATGGAAGATAACTGGCAAGATGTTGGGGATTGGGCTTTGGGAAGAGACCGGTTTCGGTGCTCATCACTGTGATGACATTTGGACCATCCAGATTTTGATCTGGATGGTCCAGATTTAAAGGATTATTATATATTTTTATTTTTATATTTATTAAAATAAAAATGTATAAAAATTATAAAATAATTTTAATAAATTTTTTATTTTTAATATGGGCTAGATTTAATTTAGAGGGTCCAATTTAATATTAAAATTTTTATAATTGATATATATTGACTATGCAGATACATTCTACACAAGCCAAATTATGATGAGCACCGAAACTAATCTCCTTTGGGAATGGGTCGGGCGGGCAAAAGAGGTAATTCCTGGCCTTTGTTAGACAAAGTAAAGTAAGAGAAGTTGCATGTCTGTGACTGTGAGAAAGTACTATGTTTCTACTGATTTAGGTTTTTTCTATTTTTGTGATAATATATTTTTACATAACTATATATTAATTTAATTTATAACGTCATCTATTACAGTTGTTCATTCCTACTCACTTTGGGCTAAATCGAAATAGACATTTTTATTTATACATTATTTATGAAGAGGATGAAGTATTTGAAATATGGGTTCTCTATCAAATTCATATAGGATAAAAATAGAACGTGATGAGATAACTCAAAAATTAGCATGTGTTAGATGATGTTTAATGGACAGAGAGGTATGATAAAAGTATTATACGTTATAGTTTTGTATTCATACTTTTCCTATTTTGTACTCTTTCTGCCTTGATTCCTTTGCAGACCAACGATACGAATGACATGTCTTGATCCTTTTTGTACACTATTAAAATGTCTAGCAAAACAAAATTTGAGCAAAGGTAGTTGATGAAGCCCTGATCGAGGAATTTCAAACGGTTGTGAAAGAAGGAATTTTACCACGGAGCAAAATCAATCTGTGGCCAGCCCATGCCCACATTCATTTGTTGTCATAGTTAATAGCAACACATAAATTTCGTTATAAAAGCACAATGATATTTGTAGCAGAATTTATATAATTTCACAAAAAACTTTATTTATTAACATATATTATGGTAGAAAAGAATTAATTTTAGTAATAAAGAGTAAAACTTAATTTTCAAAACACTACCAGTATTTACCATGATAGAAAAAATTTTAAATAATATTTTGAAACTCTACGTACCATGATAAAAAAGAGGCTGTCATGATAACTAAGAGTCTAAATCACTTTTATAAAAGCATACTATGGTAGAAAGAGCTTTTACAAACAAATTACTTCTCAAATTAGACAACCAAAGTAGAAAGGGATCTATCATGGTAGAAAATATTAAACATAATAAAATAGAACTACTATAGTAGATAAGGAACTAATGAACTCAAATAAATAATTGCCGATGAAAATCTAAGATAAATAAAGTGTCTCTCATGGAATCTCATTGAAAATAAGTACTTAAATTCAATAAAATGATTTTAAAAAAGTAATTAAAAGTGAAGTATGATTTCTAGGAGGTTAGATTATCCAAAAAATAAATTTATTAGAGGTGAAGAGGTCCAAAAAGACCATTTTAGAAGTAAAAAACTTAACATGGGTAATTTTAAGAAAAATATGCATCATATATCATGACATATGGCATAGAAAAGAAAATCCAACCTTTGTGACGTGTGTCATGGCATACGCGACATATGCCATAGTGTATGATGTTGCATCAGCAAATGACATTATGAACCATGATAGCAAACTTCAAATGAGCATAACTTTCTCTACAAATATCTAAATTAAGTGATTTAAATGTTCATATGAAGCTTATGAAATAATCTAGCTGATGAATTGGGTTTAGCACAAATTCTTCATATCAAGATTTTATCCACCAAAATCAATTAAGGGTCAAAACAATATCTTTCCTAAGCAATAACACTTTTAACACCAAATCCAAAGCTAAAGCCATTATGTAGGGCACTTGACCACCTCACACACATTCCAAACAATAAATATACACCCTCACATTTATACATGTAGTAAAAACTCTCACAGTTAGATTACAATCACCCATCATAGTTAATATGAAAACACCACAAAAATTGTCACAAGTAAAACATTTCCTCAACAAATGTTGTAAATCATTTAATCATCATAGAACATGGTCATGAATGTCACAAAACCACTTCATGGCAATCAAATAAGAGTTTAATAAAACATAAGGGAGTTACATGCTCATTTACAATAAATAAGCCCTAAGGTTGACAATTACATATAACTTAACAAAATATAGGCCAAATAGGCCAAGTGGATTTTATACACATCAATTGCTCTCTTGGTGCTTTTCCAGCTAATTTCTTTTCTGTAAAAATATTAACCACTTGAAATGAGACACAAAGGTCTCCATAACCAAAAATTAATATGCAAGGATGCATGCAATGCAATTAGCCATGCAATTGCTAAGTAGGCATACAAAATAATTTTTCAAACATATGTCATTCAAACAATTCGAACAATATTGTTCCCATAACAAAGTCACCTAGCCAAAAATGAGTTAGTCTAAGCTACTAGCCACTCATTGAGTCCAATGAAAGCTTATTACATGGTAGATAATCTTTGGACAAAATTCCCAACATCACATATTTCAAAACAAACATGACAAGTCAAGCATATTTCAATCATTTTTGCACAAAAACATATCTAGACAAAAATATGCTTCCGCACAATAGATATACCAAAATAGTACTCATATACAATTCATTTTAATTGGCAATTAATTTTCCAAATAAGAATATTTTTTTCCCACACATAACATAATTTACCTAGCATAATATTGCTCCTTGCTAATAGAACTCCCTAAACAAGTGGACTATCACATCTAACGGTATTAATATCATGATATACAAACAATGTAAAACTAATTATTGTTAATCAATGTTAATCATAACCAATCAAAGTGTCTACATACTAATCACACTTGAATCCTAGGATTATGTTAATTAATCTAATTATGCATGCATAACATAATTATAATATAAAATTCCTAATAAGTGAATTTTAGTTATGTAACTATTATTATGTATCAAGAAAGCTCTCATACCACATAGATCTGATTACACAAAAGTCCTTTCTAAAAAATGCATTAAATATTTTCATACCTAAAGAATACAAAAAATATCTAACACTTCATAAGTGGCATATGCTTATCCTCAAAAGTTCAAACCTAAAATAAAAAAGTTTACGTTAACAATGGCAAACCTATAGGGTATGTCCATTGTCAATGGACTAAGATTTGAATCATGATAAATTATAAGACTTTTATGACCTTTAGGACAAACTAAAGTAATTTTATTAATCCTTTGGTTCTATTAGGAATAAGGGAAAAATTTAGGATATTAATAAAATTTCTAGGAGTGTTTAGGGCCAAGATAGTAATTCTGGAAGAGATTGGGTGAAAAATGCAATTCTTGATGTTTAGGGATGAACTTTAATTTCCTGAAACTTTCTTGGGGTCACATTGTAATTTCTAAACAAATTGGGTACAAATCATAAATTTACAAAACTAAGGTTTTTGTTGTTCAAGGGACATAAAGACTTCTGACCTTGGGCTCAACATACTTAGCCTAAATCCCAAAGACATGAAATAGTTCTTAGGTTTTTTTAACTTGGATCGGGCCATAGATTCATCCCAATCTTCCTTATTAAGTGAAACGATTTTGTTTCATAGTAAGCCCAAAACACATTTTTTAAACCCCTTAACAGATCTGAGCCCAAAATATTGTATCACACATCAACTCCTCACTCACCAATTAGATTCCTATGATCCGAATTTGTTTGGCTTCTTGACTTGACTCACTGGGTCTCCTAGCAACTATGAACTAGAGAGGGGGCATAAATGGGGATGGTTTTTAGCACTATGAACTAAAAACAAAACATGGGCAGTTTTTAACAAATAGATGACGTATTACATACACTAATGATGCGACATCATAAGCCAAAAACCTGCACGCCCACTTTCGATGATCTGAAGTCACTTTCTAGCAACTTTGTGATGGCAAAAACAGTGGCCATCATTGGTGATCACAATAGCTATGAACATAATAGCCTCCCAACGCCATAAATTAGCAACTCCCAATAGTAATTTTGATAGCACAGAAGGCATTTTTTGGCAACTCTTGATGGTTATATGAGAAATGTACAGCGTACAATGAACCAGAAGCTGTATAATGAGAGGAATTTCCATCGACTAAGTAGCATGTTGAGTTCATGATAGTTTTTTTAGCTATAAACAATTCGTGAGAGTTCCAGTTACAATATGCAACATTTTCCATCTTAGATTGCTTTGATAATTCTCGAAGGTCAAAAAAGGACATGATATCTACTTTTCTAAATAGGAAAAACTTTATGTTTTGCTATATTTTATGTTTAGAGGTAAATGGGTGTGTCCATTTGCTAGCCACTAAATGTCCTGATTTATTAGGGTCTTTTATGCTTTTTGATTAACCCCTACCTTACTGTCGAAAGGTGGTCGATGATGATAAGAGGCAATCCTCTTCCATGTATTGCCCAAAACCTTGATTAGTTATTGGTATCTCTTTGAATTAAAAAAAAAAGCAAAAACTTTACAAATCCATTGCCTTGTACTAAATGGATTAACATATGAATAAGGAAAGCCATTATCACAAATTTCCTGCTTTCATGCACTGAGACTAACAGGCCCTAGCACTCATTTGTCAAAGAAAGTAAAACAAAATAAATATAAACTGTAGGAATGGAAAGCACCAATCTGAATCAATTTATTTTCACTCCAAATAACCTCAATACAATCAAAAATTATTAACAAGCTTTAGATATTTTCATGAACAACCAAATTAGAGATTTATACTTATCCCAAAAAAAGAAATCTTTGGCATACTTTTATTTTAGATCAACTTCATGAAATTGGCATGAGATCCCATATTCCTAATCCATGATATTAAATATATATTCAACCCATTAAAATTGAGACACTATAAATCATATATTTCAAAATGTAGGGATGTATTCCTGAAGTTCTAATATAGTTTAAAATTTATTTTTACTATAAAATTTAAATTTCAAATATTTTAAGCATAAATGTAAAGAAATTAATTCAATAAAACCCCAATTCCTTGATGGTTCGTAGTTTTAAACTATGGATTAATTAATCAAATTGCAATGATCAAACCAACCAATTAAAATCAAGTGATTGAAAGTACATTACCTATAGAAAATGATAGCTAAAGATAAATGCAAGAAGTTGAGGGTGGATAAATGTTTTAATATAGTAAATAGGAAAAAAAACACAACCATTACTTTATAAAATAAATTAATGCTTTAAAAAACCCACAACCAATACTATAAACCAAGTACATATCTCAAATTAACTTACAAAATATCTATCCATTTCATTGTTTGAGATCAATGTTCATTCAAAAGGTTAAATTAAGTAAAAAAAAAAATGAAACGGTCTTTTATTAATAAAAGATACAACCATAGAATCAGGAAATCAGGAAACAAAGTATGAAAGAGATACAACAAATAGTGGGTAAAGGGCATTATTCTTTGAAGTTGAGTTCTCTAAGTGTAATACTCTAGAATGAAACCAAAACAAGTGATTCTCGCATTAAAAGCTCCTTACATACGTGCTCTATGGTTGGGCGAATTTATGGCCTTTCATTCAAGCAAGCTAATTCTATTCTTCCAATCAACATCACCACATTAGCCTTTAAGCCTTGAGGATAATCTAGCCTTTGGTCTAGCACCTCTTTCAAAGGAAAATCATGATCACCTATAGTGGATGCTAATGAGAAAAAGGACATTACAAGATCTCTTGGATGTTTTCCTATAATTATTTCCAAAGCTAAAACTCTAAAGCTATAAACATCATATTTCTCTATCACTTCCCTTGTGTAAGCAAGCTCTAATAAAAGCAAAATGATATTATTCAAAATAAAAAAAATTAATGTTAGTAATATGTTCCTCACATATTATATAACATGAAATATAGCATCATATAACTAAAAATAA